TCCTTGGGTGGCTTTGGGAGAACTATTACGCCCCTATTCGAAAAAGTTCAAGTCCACAGCAACATCCTTTTTACAGAGCAGTCTTCGGAGCAGACATCCTGACATCACGCAAACTATGCCATGAGCCAGTAGCCGATAAATAGGAAGGGATGAATATCGCCTGCCATCCTAAGTTCATTGAAGGAAGCTAGAACTATGATAGATATTGGGCAAATCACATGTGTATTCGCTCACTCATGACCTTGTTTGCCTAGTGTATTCCCAAGCAGTGTTCCCTCTAAGCTGAGTTAGTGTGAGCTAGCTCACAGTTCTTAGCCTCCAGCTCACCCATTTTTGTCTTAGCTCAGGAAGGATGGCTCCAGAGCAAACCAATTTATGCAGTAGCCAAATCGCTCGCTCACAACTTTAATGCCAGTAGCTCACAAAGTCGAATTTTTGCTCACAAGACTCCACAGCTTAGAGGGAGCGCTGTTCCCAGGCACTAGTTCCATCCCTCCATCCCTCTCATTGTTATCCCAGCATATAGAATTCTCCCTTGCTATCTTATTCTCACACACACACCCCTGTGTGAGAGACTACGCTGACAGAATGGCCTGCTGGGGCCTACCCAGTGAGTTTCATAGCTGAGTGGGGATTAAGTCCTGGAACCCAGTCTCACTATGACACCACAGTGACTCTCTTTTCCTCCCCACCCTGCAAAGGGCAACAAGGACTCCAGGATCTAAGCTCAGTCCCTTTCTCACCAGATGTACTCCATAAAGATTTCAGAAAACTAAAACGCTGCTCTGAACTGCTTGGAGGCTGGGATACACATTTGGCACGTAAAATCAGGCCAAATAATTTTAAGGCTTCCTATTCCAGTGTGCTGGGTGCCAGTAGCTTTCCAAACTCATCCTCATCTTTGGCAGAAGCAAGCCAGTTAAGGAACATACATTCAGCTGAGGTCACTTATATACCAATTTTTTTTAATCCCTATTTTTCGGTTTGGGTCTATTGGAGCCAAAAACAATTTCTGTATTTCTTTTTTTTTTTAAGCCCCTGGAGGGGATTTTTTTATTGCATTTTTTTTAACACTACAAAACTACAACAGAAAAAAGGGAGGGGGAACTACATTTATAGGATAAAGAAAGATACCCACTACTGACTAAAAACCCAAGAGAGGAGATCATCCCACCAGTTTAACCATACATTTAGTCTTACTCCCGTTAATCTTGCTATCACCTGAGTCAAATTTAGCATTCACTTTTCCAAGTCTTAAACTTAAAGTTTAACTGTCAAACAGAAACACCCCAAAGCATCTCATTTCAACATTTTTAAAGCACAATTCAGAGTTCTTCAGCCTTTACTTCTCCTTGCCTAATCTCTTCCGAAGCTTATAAGGACTTTTAGGGGCTGCCGCCCCTTTCTCTGGAAGATTCCGAGTCCAGCTCGCCATTGGACTTACTGGCCATCCCTTTTTTTCCTTCTTTCCCTGGCCCACCCAACTGGACTCTTAAAAATTCCTGTGCTTTCTGAACAGAGTCAAACTTTTCTTTTTTATCCTTGATTTTGAAGGTTACGACTTCTGGAGTTAACCATCTATAGCCAATTGCATTTGTCTGTAGAAAAAGAATTAGTTCTTTATATTTTTTTCTTTGTCTTATCTCAAATGGAATGTCTTTCAATGTTCTGATGGTATTCTCCCCCACTTTCAGGGGTGCTCCAGATACTGCTTTCAGGATTGTATCCCTCACATGCCTCTTCGAGAATCTTACCACAATTTCCCCAGGCCGATTATTTTTCTTTATATATCCTGAATATGACCTATAGGCCACATCCATTTCATTTAACAAAAATTCCGCCTTCATATCTGACACTGGGGGCCAATACTTCACTCATTAGTTCCTTAAGATTCTCTCCCTTTGTCTCTGGCAAGCCCTGGTAGCGAAGGATCATATTAGCCTTTTCCATTTGTAATTGTGTCCCGCCGCGGGTTCTTCCGCAGCCGTATCAGCCGCTGCGGCGGGACTGGCGCGACACGCGCCGAGTTCTTTGAAGCTGCCCAACGAGGAACGGGGTTCGGGAGGCATATTTGAGGACCAGGAAGGCCATGGTCAGAAACCCCTGCTAGGCAGGAGAGGATGCGCTCGGGCAAGAGACCGAGGAATCTTACCCTTCCATATGGGTGCTACCGCGGGAGGTGCCGGGCGGGTAGATACTTCCCCGCAACCTGAGGCTCCAGGAGTTAATGGAGGCGGGAACACCGAGGGTAGAACGCTGAGATTGAGAACACACGTGGGACGAGGGGAGCAGATTGGGGAACTAGGTTGATGGGGAGCACATGGGGAAGGGTGATGAATGTAACACTGCAATAAAAAGAAAGAAACAGAAACACCGGGGAGGAATCCGGCAAATCGTGGCGACCCAGAGAGAGAACGTGTGCAAGAAAGACGATTTGGCTGGGAACGGTAGCTGGCGTGTGGTGCAAACACCCAGCACGTTCAATTTCTGAGGTGTCTGTTTCTGAGTCCGGACGAGTCTCACCACGGCTACGGGATATTCAGAGCCAGGGAGGGACGCCAATCGTGACAAATTGTAACAGTTGACCATCCATAGAAACTTGCTTCTTTTCCAGCTTTTGAACATTCTTTTTCACCTTTTGTGCAGTGGCGTACACTTCTTTCACCTTTTCAGCTGTTTCATTCATCATTTTCAATGTCTCGGTTATCTGTGTCTGCTGTGTAGTGATGCACTGAGTCATTTTCGACATCTGATCCTTGAGGTTACTCATTTGGTCCAGTAGAGGGCGCATGGATTCTGCCAAAGTCTTTGCTAGCTCACTGGCTCCTTCCGGTTTAGGGCTCTCCGTTAGTTTCGCTTTTGAAAGTTTCTCTTTCTCCGTCCTCTTCCCCGCCATCTTTCTCAGTTGTTTACTTTGGAAAATATTTTGAAAATTCTGAATATGCACTCAAACGCCTGAACTCGCCTTGGTAAGTATTTCTTAACAGTTATGCATGCCTTCTCTTCCGCTCCCCCCCCCTTGATTCGCTCAAAGGTTCATGCAATTAGGAGGCATCCCTACCCCACCCGCTTCACTCTCTGTTTTCCATATGGGGTAGGGAGCTTTCTTTTTCTCTTTAACCATTGTTTCGCTCAGTCAGACTCACGTTCATATTTCTGTATTTCTGAAAAATCCCGGATCCCAATACCAGTATGGTATTGGGATCCGGGATTTTTTGGAAATCCCACATTTTTTCAGGTCCAAATAGATCTGAGAAGAAAAATACCAGTTTTTTAAAAAAATAGCGAGCCTAATCCTTGGGGCCAGTTGGCTTCTCCTGCAGTGCGGTTTAGACTGGATTGCAGGAGAAGCTGGCGCCAGGACCTGCGTGGATCGGGGAGGTATGGCTTCGAGCAGGGATGGCTTCTCCTGCAGCATGGTTTAAACTGCGCTGCAGGAGAAGCTGGCCCCAGGATCTGCTGTGCCATGGCTAGCAGATTGTTCCCTGTGGCACGGCAGCTTCTGGGGCTGCACAAGAAGCCAGGCCAAGCTGAGCCAGTGGGAACAGTCTGCTCCCCCCGGCACAGCTGATCCTCTGGCTGTCTTCTGCAGCCCGACAAACAGCTGAGAGGCGGGAGCAATCTGATCCTGCCTCTCTGCTGTTTTCAGATATACCAGTAATTCCCGAATATATCCAGGATTTTCTTGGGATTCTTTCTCTGGTTTTCCCAAGAAAACCCAGATATATTTGGGACCCCAAAATATACCCCAAAATACTGATAATGCACACCCCTAATTATTACCCAGATCCATGATCCACAAGGTATGTGAAACCCAACTATTCTAGAGGCCTTTTTTGCAAGTAGGATCCTACCATGTAATTACAATACCACTTAATGTTTCATGTCAGTACTTCTGCTCTGCTCCAGTTCTCTCTGGTGGTTCCAGCCTTGGAAATCTTAATGCCTTTGTTACTGAATGTCCCCTTCTGTAGACTGTACTGACTCACTATGCGTAATCCGCCTTGAGTCCATGTGAGAAAGGGGGACTATAAATAACGTAAATTAGGGTTTTTTAAACTTTTAAATATATATATACAGTCCCCCATTCAAGATGGTAGCTGTCGTTGCACCTTGCAGCAGTGAGTCCTTCTTCAATTTTTATCCCACCCCGGAAGCCACTTTCAAAAGATATAAGCAACAACATCATGGGTTTATAAAACAGCATTTTGACACTGGATGGTTTCTAGTCAGCCCCTTTCTTAGTCATACTTAACTGGAACGAACGGAATTTGCCTTGTTTTCCTAACCGCTGCTGCTGCACGTCTTTGATTCATTTATTTCATTTATACCCCACCTTTTTACCCAATGGGGACCCAAGGTGACTTACATCATTCCCTTTGCCTCCATTTTATTCTCACAACAACCCTGTGAGGTAGATCAAGCTGAAAGTACATGGCTGACCCAAGGTCACCCAACTAGCTTCCATGGGAGCGTGGGGATTCGAACCTGGTTCTTCCAGATCCTAGTCCAGCACTCTAACGACTATACCACACTGGCTCTCATGCTGGTTGATGGTTTCATAAGCAGCAGGTGATGTGAGAGACCTCTGTTGGAGACCCTAAAGAGCCACTGCCAGCCTGAGCAGACAATACTGTCCTTGATAGACCAGGGGTCTGACTCAGTATAAGGCAGCTTTGCACGTGCATATCTACCTTGTTACCAAGATTTCGCTCCAGGTTATGTGGGAATAAACACCCTGCATAAAGGAGACTGTACCTATTTCTAAAACCTTTTTCCATGCTCTCATTAAAACTCTGCAGCTGTGTTATCGCTGGCCTCCAGTTCATTCAAACCGCCTTCACCAAACTCCAACTCCATTAAGCAGGGCTGCCCTCTTTCACCTAGGACTGGCCCCACACCTTCTGTCATGTTTTCACCTACTAGAACTCCAAGCTGTATCAAACAGAACCGGGGCATCCAGAACAACGCATGCATTCTCGAACTAACGAGGTACCTACAGGTATACTCCATATCTGCATCCCATCACTGTAGCCGATCATTAGCAGCAAAGGCGGCTCATTCCCAGCGCTGTGTATCTCGTGCAACTCCATGTTTCTTGACGTATCTAAAAAGTTAAGAAGAAAATCAATAAGTCAGAAGTCACAGTAATGGAGTGCTGAACCATGGCAAATGTCACTACCTGTAATCATTAAGAAAGTATACATGTGGGGGAGAAGGAAAAAGAAGTTCTTCCTAAGGTTATCTTAAATGTTCAGGCTTATTTTTTTAACAGCAATTTTTTTGTGCACAGAAGGTGCCAGCTTCAATACCCTATAGAAAAGGAAAAACCAAGGAAGGAGCACTCTCTGCTTGGGGCCTTGGAGAACCGACAGCCATCAGAATAAATAGTTCGATGATGTCGACATAAGGCCCTGTCATGTACTCAGATACTATTTGCCATATATCAAATACAATTTATGATATCTGTTAAAATTGTAATGGCACTTGTAATTATCTCTTTCAATTCCCCTCTACTACAAAACCTTTTTAGAATTTGTTTTCTGATTCATCTGCTTGAAAAATAATGATTCTGGAAACAAAGTTTTTTAAGGACTGTTCTTATTGCTTTTTTTTTTAATTTGGTAATCTCTTATTTCCATTTTGTACGAATCTGTTTCCTAATGCAAGTTTTGCTGCCTGATAAAACGATAACAAATGAAGTATGCAGAAATAAAATTAAATATTCTAGCCAGATTAATAACTCACCCATTAATTATGGATGGTGATTTTAATTCTGCCTCTCAGACAGTAATTGGCTCCCACACAAGGTCGCAGGAATCAAGGAGCTGAGTACCGGAGCAAGTTCAAGGTTATGGTACTAAAACCCTGAAAGCCCTGCGCGGTCGGGGACCCGCATATCTGCAGGACCATCTCTCCCACTATGCCCCCCGAAGCGCCTTACTTCCTTCAGATCAACATCTACTGGTGATCCCTGGCCCAAGAGATGTCTGCTTAGCTTCAACCAGAGCCAGAACCTTTTCAGCTCTGGCTCCGGCCTGGTGGAACAGTCTCGTGAGTGAAATCAGGGCCCTGCGGGACTTGTTACAGTTCTGCAGGGCCTGTAAAACGGAGATGTTCCACCAGGCCTTTGGTTGAGGCAGTGGATATCAAAACTATAACGACCCCTCCGTTCCACCCACCTGTTCCATCTGCCGGCGCTATCTGCAAGCATTACTTTTATGTTATTACTGGTGGGAGTTTTGCTGCTCATTAAACTATCGACCCATCTGAGCACACATATGATGGGAATTTATGAGCAATTTAACCACATAGGAGCCATCTTGTACTTTATATTATGTTATACTGAACTGACTTTTATTGTATAATGTTTTGATTTTAAAATTCTTGTATTTTAGGGTTGCCAGGTCTGGGTTGGAAAATACCTGGAGACTTTGGGGATGGAGCCAGGGGAAGGTGAGGTTGGGGAGGGGAGGGGCCTCAGCAGGGTACGATGCCACAGAGAGTCCACCCTTCAAAGCAGCCATTTTCTGCAGAGGAGCTGACCTCTGCAGCTGGAGATTGGTTGTAAAAGCGGAAGATCCCCAGCCTGCGGGGGAAGGCCAGGATAAAAAGTGAAATAAAAGGAACAAGAAGGCTCCTTGGGGAGGGGACTTTGAGCTGGATTTGGATCCAAGTATCTTGGCTGCTTCCTGCCCTCCCTTGATGGGCTCCTCAATGGCAGCTAAAGTCTGAAGGAGGGAGGCTTTCCACAGGAGCCGTATCCAGACACTGTGCTGGGACACCTGTAAGCTCAAGGCAGCTTAAACTAGATTTACACCGACTGCAGTAAGCACCAAAGCTTGGTGGGTTCTAACAACTGCTTCTAACATTGGACGTAAAATGCCAAGACATACATGTTCATCTCATAGCTTGTTTTAAGTATTTAAATGCTTGCCATGCTGGAACATACATAAAAGGGTATTTACTTACTTACTTATATCCTGCCTTTCTCCCCAATGGGGACGCAAAGCAGCTTACGTCGTTCTCCTCTCCTCTGTTGTAACCTCACAACAACAAACCTGTGAGTTGGCTTAGGCTAAGAGTGTGTGACTGACCCAAGGTCACCCAGTGAGCTTCCATGGCAGAGTGGTGATTCGAACCTGGATCTTCCAGAGCCTGGTCTGACACTTTAACCACTGTACCAACACCTAACTAGACATTTGGAACCCATGACAGAGCTGACAGGTAGACATTTACAGAAGGCACTCAGGTTGGCTTTGACTTGGGTCAAGCTTACTCCACTGGCAAGTTTACTCCACTGGCAAACATCTAGAACTTCTGACATTACCCTCTGGGCCTTTTAATGTCAATATTCATGTTGCTGATAGTTACCACAATGTATATACACGTGTTGCAGTGAACGTTCAACATTTGGTGAAAGTCAATGTTTGCCTGACTGGCTGGTCCAAAAACAAATATGTTATTTCCTAATTTTCTGGGAGAACATATACTAGGACAGCAACAATCACATTGGCCGCTATCAGAAACAGGATACTGTACTTGAAGGACTGATTCTGTGAGCCACGTCTTTTTTTTTAGTGGAACCCAGTGTTCCCTCTAAGCTGACTTAGTGTGAGCAAGATCACAGTTTTTTAGCCTCCGGCTCACACATTTTTGTCTTCGCTCAGGAAGGATAGCTCCAGAGCAAACTAATCTATGCAGTAGTCAAATTGTTCGCTCATAACTTTAATGTCAGCAGCTCACATAGTAGGATTTTTGCTCACAAGACTCCACAGCTTAGAGGGAGCATTGGTGGAACCTGCATGTTCAAAGGCAGTCTCCCTATGAATACCAGTTGCTAAGAGGCTGCCATCTTTATACCCTTCTTGTAGGCTTCCTGGAAACACGAGGATTACCACCAGAGGAAACAGAATGCTGTGCCATTCAAGACGAAGAAGAAGAGATTGGATTTATACCCTGCCCCTCACTCGGAGTCTCAGAGCAGTTTACAAACTCCTTTCCCTTCCCCTCCCCACAACAAACACCCTGTGGGGTAGGTGGGGCTGAGAGAGCTCTTGACAGAAACTGCTCTTTCAGGAACAGCTCTTGTCAGAACTATGGCTTGCCCAAGGTCATCCAGCCAGGTGCAAGTGGAGGAGTGGGGAATCAAACCCGGTTCTCCCAGATTAAGGGTCCACACACTTAACCACTACACCAAACTAGATGGATCCTTGGCCAGATACAGAAGAATTATTTTTATACACAGCAGCCCAGACTGTTACCTGACTCTGTAGCTGCCAGCTCAGACACGTGCAGAGGAGAGAGGCTCCTCCAGCAACGAGCCAGTTGAGAGGGGCCTGGCTTTCTCCTGCCAACATCCAGTCCCTTCTCAGGAGATTAGTGGCTGACCACAGTAGTACAGCTATCTAGAAAACACCTGCTGGTTTTACAGTCTTCACTGCAGCCACTGTACCAAGAAAGGGTCCATCCAGAGGAAGCAAAGGGATTGGTTTTTCTCTTAAAATAAAACACGCATTAAAAATATTGTCACTGCCGCATCCCCAGTACTTCAGACCTTCTAATAATGATCGTCATAACACAAAATTGGGGTGGAAATAGGGAGAACAGTCATACCATTCAAGTCCGCATTTTCAAATCTGACCCATACGATTTTCTCTTTTTCTTCTGTCGGGGGTGTGCCACTGTAGGCCTGAAAGACAGTATTCCAAAATACCAACGATCATAATGCAAGAAGATGAAGCTATGTAAATTTTGTAATCCTAGACAACAGGTATCAGAATGGTCACATGTTACCCAAACAATTCAAACCAAACAATACTATCCAACCGTAATACAGTTAAAAACAGCAGGGGACTGCTGAATGACCAACCTTTTGTCTCCGGTTTTACAACCAGAAGTTATCTTTAATTACACTGGTTTTGCATAACCCACAGTGCACCCCTGTTAAAGGACTCAGGCAGCATATACATTTTATAAACAAACCACACAAGTCAGCTCGATAAAGAGTAGGTGCTCACCTGCGGAACAACATCTTGCAGAAACGTAACAACGCTTTCCATATAGGACTGCTCCCTGAAGCAGAGAAAAAACATGAAAAGGGCTATAAATACTGTCAAGTTAAATACTGTCAAGTTAAAACTAAATTTAAGTACAACTGATACTGCAGAGTTTCAGAGGGAGGATGTCCTGTCCAGAAAAGGACAAAGGCCTCCACTCAATCCTATGCAGAGTTATTCCCATCTAAACCCATTGATTTACACTGGGCTTAGACTACAGTCACTTCACATAGGATTATACTGCAAATCTAAGAGCTGCATGCTTGAAATCTTCATGTGGCAAAGAGCCAAGAACATCCATCGGACCAGATACAACCACATGCTGAGGTATACAAACCAAAACACATGCTGAGGTATACAAACCAAGTCACACCAGACACCATCCAAGTCGAAACAGAGTTTATTTTTATTTTTTTAATTTCACTTTCACCCCACCCTCCCCGCCAGGCGGGCTCAGGGCGGCTTCCAAAAACTAATAAGCAGTATACATTTCACAGTAATAGAATAAAATACATCATTTAAAAACATAGACAAGTCAATATGAAACATTCATTTGATGGCGATAAAAATAAAGTGCAGTTTAGGGACACATCCAGCGGTGCCACCATGCTAGGTCATGTTGGATCGGAGTTGCTGTGTGCACATACATTACGATGTGGCAGCCTGGTGAGACTTCCCAGTGACTTAATGCACATGTAAGATTATAACATTTATTAGACTTGTACCCCTAAAGGACTACTGAATACCAGATTGCCTACCGAAGAATTCAGGTCATATGCCAAAGTCCTTTGCTGCATATGCACCCCGACACCTTGAGAAGTGAGATGGATGACTACTACAGAGAAGTCCATTTCTATAGTAACTTCTTGCTTAGGAATGGTAAGGTAAAGTAAAGGTTTCCCCTTGCTGGAAAGCCAGTCGAATCCAACTCTAGTGGGCAGTGCTCATCTCCGTTTCCAAGCCGAAGAGCCAGCGTTGTCCAAAGACATTTCCGTGGTCACGTGGCTGGCATGACTAAACGCTGAGGCGCACGGAATGCTGTTACCTTCCCACTGAAGTGGTACCTGTTTATCTACTTGGAATTTCTTGCTTTCAGACTGCTAGGCTGGCAGGAGCTGGGGCCAGAGACGGGAGCTCACTCCGTCACGCAGCACTCAGGTCTTGAACTGCCAAAGTACAGACCTTCTGGTCTGCAGCTCAGCGCCTTAACCTCTAAGCTACTGCGGCCCTAAGGAATAGTACCCCCCTCCCAAATATCTGACCATCTTTCACTTAGTGCAGTCCTAAGCAGAGTTACACCATTCTATGTCCACTGAACTCAATGGACTTAGAACCCCTCTGCAAATTGCTTATTTCCTGAGCGGTTTAATTAATTGTGCAAATCCCTGTCCTTGGATGATGACTCCAATAGTTTTTCTTCTGCTTTGCTGTTTTTATTTGTAATAATTTGATATGCTGCTGGATTGTTTGGGAATATTACAATGGGTTTGTGCTGACAACTGTGTTTTCATTGTTTGTCGCCTCAGGAGCCTGTGCTTAAGGGCAGAAAACAAAATAAATGAATGTCCTGCTTTGTGACCAGAGCTCCCCAAACATGTTTAAGAAAAGGAAAAAACAGTTTTATTGAAAGCTTCACACATGACATTCCACATGCAGAAACTATGCAACTACTTCTCTGACAATAAATTAAAGGGAATCTTTAAAAAACACAGAAAAATGCAGGCAGGAATGTGTTTGTGGAGGAAAGCACTGAATATTCTACAGAGACATGCCCACACACAACCACATAGCCTCTGTTGCTGCTGTTCAGGATAGCCACAGTCAGAACTGGTGGACAGCTCCCCCCCCCCCCCATAAAAGCCAAATTCTTCACAGGAATGGCAGCCTTTGAACGTAAGGGGGGGAAAGGGGGTACGATTGGTAGCCCCTATGCAGTAAAGATTAAACCTGTTCCAGGTACCCCAGTGTATGGGCGAAGAGCAGGTCTCACTTCCTCTGAACTGTGCCCCAGTACGTCACCTGCTGATTTTGCTCCATGTAATTCAAGTAAGTGCCACTGAGAACTGATTCTCCCAGTCTCCTCCTCTGTGCCCTAACATCCATTTTTCGTCATTCTGGAGTGGGCTGGGCTTCTAAGCTCGAGACAGAATGCTGGAAATTATTAGAGACTGGTGCAAGATGCTGACAGACTCTCACAGACTTATAATTAGGTTTTCTCACACAGAACAGAACAATCAGCACAGGTTTGTGTTTCATAAACAGGCAGTACGTTTTGGGACATGCTGAACATGGTGAGCCTTTAAAATTTAAAAGGCAAGAGGTTTCATTGTAAGATTTCCGCTTCAAATACAAATGCACAATTTAGGGAAACTATTCTAAAGCCAACTTGAAATTTCAGGGAACTCTGCAACAGAAGCTAAAGATCAGGTTACGGATGCGCGTTGTGATAAAAGAGTTACGATATCACACAGGGAAGTAGTCACATGACTGGTACCACGGAGCACACAGCCCCCCAAAGAATGAGGAAACCCCCTCAAAGGCATGCTTGACTAAAGAAGAAGAAGGAGAGATTGGATTTATACCCCCACCCTTCACTTGGCGTCTCAGAGCGGCTTACAAACTCCCTCCCCCTCCCTACAACAGACACCTTGTGAGGCAGGCGGGGCTGAGAGAGCTCTGAGAGAACTGCTCTTTCAAGGACAGCTCTGACAGAACGACGGGCTTGCCCAAGGTCATCCAGCAGCTGCAAGTGGAGGAGTGGGGAATCAAACCCGGTTCTCCCAGATTAAAGTCTGCACTCCTAACCACTACACAACCCCCCGTAATTAGAATCGCTCAACTTTCAACTCAGTACAGACAAAGAGTAGTAACTAAAAAACTGCACTGAATGTTACAAAAAACCCTACACTTGGGGAAGAGTGGGTCAGGATCTTAAAATGGCCCAGAAGCAAACCAGTCTGAGTCAGATCCACAGAGTGCGTACGAGCCAGCCCTGCGGGACCTTGCCGGCAGCAACCACCACAGGTGTCAGTTCACCACTGCCAACACCCTTCTCAGGCACCTCTGGACAGATCTGGGCTGAGTGGTCACGGCACAGCTACTACAGGTTGGATCTGCTTGCTCCTGGCATGCCAGCAGCCATCCAGGGCAGCAGCCCACTGGGAAATCTCTCTGTAAGTTAAAGAGCCAGTTCTCCCAGCATGGGACACAGGATTACGTGGGCATTAAGGCAAATCTCATACCAAGATTGCCCCATGCGACAATAACACACAAAGGTTTTACATTAATTGCTATATTGCTGTGTCTGCAATGTAAGATTTCTGTAACGGGCACGGCGGTCCTCAGAGCACTCTTCTGCAGAGGTTCTGAAAGGCCACAGTATAGCGTTGCCCAAGACCTGCCGTACAAACTCACATGGAGCTAATGATACAGGCTGGACTCTGTACTGCTCCATGAAACAGACAAAATTGCTATACATACATGTGACTTTTTAAAATACAGCCTTTCAAAGTTGCTGTCATGTGTTTACACCTGTGCAATGTTACTTTGCCTGAAAAATATTGCCTATTGAATTCTGGATCCGTTTCAAGGTGCTGGTGCTTACTTTTAAAGCCCTCTACGGCTAGGGGCCAGCATACCTTCGAGACCGCCTCTCCCCATATGAGCCCCGGAGGGCACTGAAATCTATGAATTAACATCTTCTAGCAGTCCCCGGCCCCAGGGATGTCCGACTAGCCTCAAACAGGGCCAGGGCTTTTTTGGCCCTGGCCCCCACCTGGTGGAATGAGCTCCCATACGAGATCAGGGCCTGCAAGACGGAGCTCTCCCACCAGGCCTTTGGTTGAGGTGGCAGACATCCCTTTCCTCTCCTGGCTATATCCCCTCCAACAGCCTGGATCTTATTATCGGTACTGCTGAATTGACATCGGTGGCCAGGATCTTAATATCAGTACTGCTGATCAGAACTAGCTTGTTGCACGGTATTTTATGGTTATACTGTTTTAATTATTATTTTAATTATTGTTTTAATGGTATTATTATTATTATTATTATTATTATTATTATTATTATTATTAAATGTCTACCCCGCCCTCCCCATGAATGGGCTCAGGGCGGCTCACAAACAAGGGCACCGTGTGCCGATACATAAAAACAGAATAAAAACAAACAATTTTACATAATAAAGTGCTGAATGCTATTTGTCATCAATGAAAGCAAGATGGTGTCCTGAAGATATTACACAGTCCTGGTTCAGCGGTACCGATCCACCGTCCTGCTGTAGTTCGATCTTCATAGAGGGCCGTACCCGTTGTTACCAGGGATCGTTGGTGATGGTGGCAGTGGCAGCTCCTAATCAAAAGCCTGGCGGAAGAGCTCCATTTTGCAGGCCCTGCAGAACTGTAAGAGGACCCGCAGGGCCCTGATCTCCTCCAGGAGCTCATTCCACCAGGTAGGAGCCGCCACTGAAATGGCCCTGGCTCTGGTTGCAGCAAGTCGGGTCTCCCTGGGGCCTGGAATCACTAACCGATGTTGTGCCCCTGACCGTAGTGCCCTTTGGGGTATGTGTGGGGAAACACATAGGTATGTTGGACCCTGGCCATATAGGGCTTTAAAGGTCACAACCAGCACTTTGAAGCACACCCGGTACGCTACTGGCAGCCAGTGCAGCGCTTTCAGCATAGGCTGAATGTGCTCCCATCTAGGGAGACCCATTAGAAGCCTGGCCACAGCGTTCTGCACTAACTGCAGCTTCCAGATTTGCGACAAAGGCAGCCCCATGTAGAGAGTGTTACAGAAGTCTAATCTCGAGGTGACCATCGCATGGATCACTGTAGCCAGTTCATCGTGGTCGAGGAAGGGGCTGCCACCTGGGCCTCCATGGTTAAGGAGGAATCCAGGAGCACTCCCAGACTCCTAACCTCCGGCGCTGGCACCAGAGGCGCCCCATCGAAGGCCGGGAGAGGGAGCCCCATCCCCAGACCAGCCCGACTCAGGCACAGGACCTCCGTCTTCGCTGGGTTTAGTTTCAGCCGGCTCAATCTGAGCCAACCAACCACGGCCTGCAAAGCCCAGTTCAGATCTTCTGGGCTGGAGTCCGACCGGCCGCCCAACATCAGGTAGAGCTGGGTGTCATCTGCATATTGATGGCACCCTAGCCCATACCTTGGGGCAATCTGGGCAAGGGGGTGCATATAGATTTTAAACAACATCGGGGAGAGCACCACTCCCTGAGGCACACCGCATTCAAGCAGGTGTCTTCGGGACTGCTGCTTCCCTAGCACCACCCTTTGTCCCCGACCCTGGAGAAAAGAGGCAAGCCATTGAAGGGCAAGCCCCTGTATCCCCGCGTCGGCAAGGCGGTAGGTCAGCAACTGGTGGTCGACCGTGTCGAACACGGCCGACAGATCTAACAACAACAGTGCCCCCACACCGCCTCAGTCCAGATGCCTCCGGAGGTCGTCAGTAAGGGTGACCAATGCTGTCTCTGTCCCGTGTCCCGGGCGAAAGCCGGACTGGAAAGGGTCTAAGATGGAAGCGTCATCCAGAAAATTCTGTAGCTGTATCGCCACCGCCCTCTCAATTAATTGGTATTGTATTGAGACTGTTGTGAACCGCCCTGAGCTCGCCCGCGGGGAGGGTGGTATATCAACCAAACAAGCAAGCAAATAAATAAATAAATAAATAAAAATATCAGAAACTGGAGAAAACCATGGAAAGGCACTCAGCAAGTCTCAAAAGTGCCCAAACCTCAGCAGCACAGACACACCCTCATGGGTCATCTTTCACTTACAACTCCAAGCGGCCCACACAGGAGTCTGTTAGCAATGCCACAAACACTTACGTGACAGCCTGTGGGCGAACCACCACTCCTCCGGTACATCGGCTTGGGCGGCGGGGAGATTCAGCGGCCATTGCTGATCCAGACACTCCTGCAGGGAGAAGGAGACAGCGATTCTGAAGTCCTACACAAGGCCTTGGAACTTCTCGACTTGAGAGTGATCCACAACTTTTCCTCCAGCGCCCATCGGAAGGGCAAATAAAAGACTGCTAAGCTGAGGCATTTGGCAATTGTGAGTGGCAACCACAGACAGTTTCTTTTTCTGCAATGAAATCACACCAGTGGAATATACTTCTCTTTGGAAGTTCAACTTGATGCCTGCTCTACTGGCATTTTACAGTTGCACAGGTTTTTATATGAAGTCTTGCCCACCTTTTAATTGTTTAAAGTTTCCCATCTGTCATACATCCATGTATAATTTTTTTTCCAACCTAGCTTGTTTTTTTGCAAGGGAGAGGGGCAGACTATGCCTTGATTTTCCTGTTTTTGGCTCTGAAATTCCTATTTCTATGCTCATTCTGATTATGCTCATGAAATAAAGTACTGCTGCAAGCTGATTTATTATTCAACAGTTACTTTAATTGCTGATCCTTTTATTTTGATATTAAACACACTGGGAAGATTCTTCTGGAGAGGAAGAGGAAGAAGAGGAAGAGGAGGAGGTTGGATTTATACCCCGCCCTTCACTACCCAAAGGTGTCTCAGAGTGGCTGACAAACTCCTTTCCCTTCCCCACAACAGACACCCTGTGAGGCAGGTGGGGCTGAGAGAGCTCTTGACAGAAACGGCTCTTTTTCAAGAACAGCTCTTATCAGAACTACGGCTTGCCCAAGGTCACACCAGCCAGGTGCAAGTGGAGGAGTGGGGAATCAAACCCGGTTCTCCCAGATTAGAGTCCGCGCACTTAACCACTGCACCAAACTGGAGTCAAAGAAACAAAATAAAAGAGCATCCAAAGTATCACTGGAGCAGCAGAATGACAGAAGCAGTTCTGATGGGAAAGGGAAGCTATATGCCTCAAGTCATCCTGCTCCATGCTGACATGGCAAACAGTACATGTGAAAATGCTTGGGGGCTCAGGGACCACATTCCTAATTTTCCAGGTAGCTACATTCACAAAATATGAATCTGCCACTATGTTAAGGTGCTATGATCAGGAAGGGTCCTGCTTCTTTGGAGATTAGGCAGGTGGCAACCAAGGAAGGGTCCTCTCTGCTGTGGCCCCGTCTGTGGAATGTCCATCCCCTACACTCACCTCCTGTTACTGTGACAACAGTTTTACATCTTCAGTATTGTCCTAGTTTGTGGATAACGTTATCTACAATGCTGCTGCTTTTTTGAACGACACTAGATGACTGAGTTTGCTTTCTGGTTCTGTTTTGTTTTTTAATTTAACACAAGCTGTTCTGAACATGCATTTAACGGAAAGGTGAGATATAAATGTGTGCTTCTACTGACAAAACATCCACATGTAAATGTATGCCTTCTCTTTACACACATAGGTATACAAGGGGAGGGGATATGACTCAACAGCCAAGCACAGGCTTTGCACACAGACGGTCTCCAGTTCAATCCTCAACATCTTCAGTTAAATGGATTACAAGTGTCCAGAGACCTTTCCTTGCTTTCCTGGGAAGATGCTGCCAGCCAGACCAGACAGCAAGTAAGACCACTCTCACCAAGTTGCTATCGCAATTAAGGATAATCTCCAAGCAACCAGGCAAAGGTTTACGGCACAGCTTGGCAAATCCCAGGCACCAGGGAGCCTAAGAATTTCGTATTTTCAGCAGTCATCTATTGTCGTGCCCCTTGGTGCTTTTCAGTAGCAGTACAAAGCTTGTTTAGTCAAGGAATCATAGTTAGCTTTTTGTTATGACGAGAATGTCAAACTCGTGCCCTCGTTTGCCATGGATCCTTTCTGTTCTCTGGGGAACCTGTGCTGTTTCTAGAATGGGGGGGGGGGATGCTCGAATGTGTATGTGTGAAAACTTGCTTTGGCTAGCTGCTTGGTAATTGTTATTAAGTGCCTGCCTCCCACTTAGGAAGTGTACTTGAAGGTCTTCTCTGCTAGGCGCCCTGTCATAGATAAATAACTTAGGCTCACAGGTGTGTGTGTGGGGGGCATGTTAGTTTTTGGCAGGCTGCTTGAGCAACTGGATTGGATGGGGCACTGGGGGGGGGTCTTTGAATTATGTATAATATCGGACTGGCACCAAATCCAGCACAAGATGGTCTCTGCCATACATGACTACGTATCTCAATAAACAAATCTTTCTCCAAAGAGTGCTGTTGAGAGTGAGTTTATGTGTGAGAGTCTGACAGACAACCAGGGCTACCCCATATTTATTGATAACACTATTTTTATACTATTTTATACATTCTTTAAAATTTATTTTTGGGGATTTATACCCTGCAAGCGGGCTCACTGCAACACTTTTTTAAATAACTTTTTAAAAGTGGCAAGAAACTGAAGAGGTTAGGATTAGGTTTCTTGATAGCAATAATTAGAGAATATGCCCATTAAAACATAAAACCTTGAAAGCTGACAAATAAGCCTGGCTCCTAAAGCCAAAGAAAATGTGTGAAGGCCGGGTTTATGGAAGGAGGGATACACAGGATGCTGGCAAAGACACCTCAAGATCATGTTCTGACAGATACCCCCACACACACACATCTGGCCTGACGAAAACGTTCTGGAGAACTCAATAATGACTACAGACTGTATTGTGCCGTGTTATGTTGTTCGGTTTTTCTTTCCTCTGAGATCACAAAATGATTCACAGAAGGATGTGCAGGCAAGCAAGCTGAGCAAAGGGTTACCTATTATCTTTTGTTGACTTATTGGAAAAGCACACACATTCTCTCAGCCTTTTGCCCCTCCTCCAGCAGGGAAAGAAAAAGAGGAGCAGCACCTACTTCAAGGTGTGACAGCAAACTTGGGGTGCTTTATCCAATGACTGAGGAGTGACATGATCGAGGTTTACAAGATTATGCATGGGATAGAGAAGGTAGAGAAAGAGGTACTTTTCTCCCTTTCTCACAATAAAATAATGAAATTGCTGAACAGTCGGGTTAGAACAGATAAAAGTACTTCTTCACCCAAAGACTGATTAACACATGGAATTCACTGCCACAGGAGGTGGTGGCGGCTACAAGCATGGACGGCTTCAGGAGAGAACTGGATAAACATCTGGAGCAGAGGTCCATCAGTGGCTATTAGCCACAAGGTATAGAGTAGAACTCTTTGTCTGGGGCAAGTGATGCTCTGTCTTCTTGGTGCTGGGGCGGGGGTTTAACAGTGGGAGGGCTTCTAGTGTCCTGGCCCCACTGGTGGACCTCCTGATGGCCCCTGGTATTTTTGGCCACTGTGTGACAGACTGTTCGACTGGATGGGCCATTGGCCTGATCCAGCACTGGCTTCTCTTCTGTTCTTAAACTCATTAGTTCCCCTCCAGCAACTCAACCAAGCTAGAGCAGCCCATTTCCATGCTGCCAGACATGAGACAGCCACTTCCAAGGCTGTTGTCACACAGGTGACAGATGCCACACACACCCTTTAGCTCCAAACTGAGGAACGTGCACATGAGGAACGCTGCTCTGTCCTGCTCCTTGGCCCCCCAGCTCAGCTAACTGGGTCTCAGGCAGAGAAAATTCCCACCCAGCTCTTGATACTTGAGACACTTTGAAGTGGAGATGCCAGAGACTGAACGTGGGACCTCCTGCATGCAAAGCAAGTTATTCTACCACAGAGCTACAGTTTGGTGTCGTGGTTAAGAGCACGGGCTCTAATCTGGGAGAACTGGGTTTGATTCCTCACTCCTCTACCTGCAGCTGCTAGTGTGACTTTGGGCCAGTCACAAGTTCTTTCAGAGCTGTTCTCTCAAGGGCAGTTCTCAGGAGAGCTCTCTCAGCCACACCTACTTCACAGGGTGTCTGTTGTGGGAAAGGGAAGGGAGATTGTAAGCCACTCTGAGACTCCTTTGTGTAGTGAAGGGTGGGGTATAAATCCAATCTCTCCTTCTTCTTCTCTGCAGTGCACAGCATGACATGGTACAAGGGATAAAAGTGTGTGCCTCTGACTTGACATGAGGCAAAAAACCCATGCCCTGTTCACAGCTGGGCAGTGACCAGCCACTGCCTGCCTGCCTCTGTGTTATTTGAAGCGATATGGTTTTCAAAATGTCTTACATGAGGCAGAACCCCGATACAGTGTTGTAGAGCTGTAACTGGCATCTTTACTTCAACAGTGGCACGGGTGGCGCTTTTTAAACCTACCCTATGCACATAAAGTACCTAGCTGCAGCCTGGCTGTTGCAAAAGCCATCCTGTTTTCACAACAGCTGAGGAGGGAGAATGCTGGCAAACTAATGCAAAAAAAAAAAAGTTCTTCAGAAAGGAAGAAACCAGTTTGGGTCGTTTTTCACCAGGAGAGATGCTTGAGAGATGCATGTCCACACCAGTATGTTCCACAAGAAAACACACTGGTGCCAAGGCTGAAGGAAGGCAGAGGAACCTGAGGCGGTGAGCCACATAGCCTCATGGAGGGCTGTGGGAGCCCATGAGCCTCTATTTCCTGTCTCCAAACCTGAAACAATGGGGACCAGCTCTGCTCCCACAGGATCGGTTTGGAGATGGTGAGTGCTTCCTCACAGGGGGGAAGAATCCAAACCTCTAGAAAGAGCCTGCAAGAGGGTTTTGGACAGCGTTCTCTGTGAGATGCTGATTTTCTACACGTGAGGCAGTCCCTCCTCCCCATAAGGCAGCATTTTAATGTACAACACTCCCATGTACTGCTAGAAGTACTAGAAGAAGAAGAATAGATTTGTACCCTGCCCTTCACTACCGGAAGGAGCCTCAGAGCAGCTTACAATCGCTTTCCCTTCCCCTCCCCACAACAGACACCCTGTGAGGTAGGTGGGGCTGAGAGCTCCCTTGAGAACTGCCCTTGAGAGAACAGCTCTGAGAGAACTTGTGTCTGACCCAAGGTCACACCAGCAGCTGCATGTGGAGGAGTGGGGAATCAAACCCGGTTCTCCCAGATTAGAGTCCGTGCTCTTAACCACTACATCAAACTGGCTCTACAGTCCAGGAGGTGCTTTAAGACTGCTAAATGTAGACTTTGGGCCCCTCAAGACTCTATAATCGGTGACTATATACCTCAAAGAAAGAAGCCGGGAGGGGGAGCAGGTTGAATGTCTCTGGCAACTACATGACTAGCTGCTGGCAGGTGTGTTATTGCTGAAGAAGAAGAGAAGAAGAGATTGGGTTTATACCCCGCCCTTCACTACCCAAAGGAGTCTCAGAGCGGCTTACAAACTCCTTTCCCTTCGCCTCCCCACAACAGGCACCCTGTGAGGTAGGTGGGGCTGAGAGAAACTGCTCTTTTTCAAGAACAGCTGTGCCAGAGTTATGGCTTGCCCAAGGTCATCCAGCCAGGTGCAAGTGGAGGAGTGGGGAATCAAACCTGGTTCTCCCAGATTAGAGTCCGCGCACTTAACCACTACACCAAACTGAAGGCAGAGGAGATCAGGTAAGACAACTGAAACTGTTCAGAAGGGACCACGATTAGTTTTCACCCCTTACTGAGCCTGTGTCCCATGGTCAGGAAGGGGGTTAAAATGCAAGTATACACAAGACAGCGTTTCTGGGGCACATCTGCCTGTTCCCTGGAATGTGATCTGTCAGCAGGAGGGCAGTTCAACAGCTAGCTGATGTAGCAACAAGGAATTTCGCCATCACACCTTCCAGGAAAGAGATAATACTGACGAATTCTACTCAGCTTCACTCTGCTGGCCCTTTGTGAAGGGCAGGTGCTGTCTTTCAAGACCAGCCCTGTTTTCAGTGCTTTGCTAGGACATGATTCAAACCCTTTAGTCACTAGTCAAACCCAGCTAACTGACCAAAAACAAGGCCACCCTTCCTTGCCTCAAATGTATATAATGCACTGACCAGCAGGGGGCCACCCCACATTGCGATGACTCCAAACCTGAGCTGCCACTGAATACACATACACATACACAACACACCCAGGGAGGGAGGCAGGCTAGGGGTGTTAACCCTCTCCTGCTAGGGCCTGGAGTGGTCAGAATATTCAGCTCCCTCTCAGTTCTCCTCCTCCACGTCTGTGTGAGCACTGCAAAGACCAAGACTATTTCTTGCCAACAGGGGCAAGGTTCACGTTCCCCTAAAAGCTCTCCCTCTCTTTCAACCACTCTGCCCCCCCCCAGCTTTCCCATCACCCACGACTGCGTATTTCCAACAACTCACATAAGTCCCACATTGCCACCCTGCCCCCAGATCCCTCCCCTTCCTACGTCTAATGAGCACACCCAGAGTGCCTAATCCTCCCCCTACACCACCTACACCTCCCAGTATTCCAGCCTCCCCCACTCAGGACCAGCAGAGTGTAGCAGCTGGACAATCAGACTAGGACCTTTCATGAAGATAGATTCAGGAGGTCACTAGGTTGGTCTGAAGCAGCAGAACAAAGTCTGGGTCCAGTGGGGCCCTTGAAGACCAACGAAGTTTAATTCTGGGTCTAAGCTTTCGTGTCCTTGCAACACTTCTTCAGATACCTCACATTACACTCCAACGTACCGGAAGAAGTGTGCATGCCCACGAAACCTTATACCCAGAAGAAAACTTTGTTGGTCTTCAAGCTGCCACTGGACTGGAAACTGGAAGACTCCAATTCTAATTCCCACTCTGGAAGCTCGCTGGGTGACACAGGGTAGGCAATTTCCCTCTCTGAGCCGCACCTTCCTCACAGGGCTGTTGTCAGAATACAACAGGGAAGAGGAGAATGGCACTTTGGGACCCTATTTAGGGAGAAGAGCAGAAGAGATGTTTATTTACTCTCAGAGCTGGCTGGGACCAGCGGGGTCATCTAAGACCCATCCCCCACCCGGGCAATGCAGGAACCACAACTGTGACATGATGCCCAACAAAATACGGGCACTCTCTTCTTCCCAGGCATCCCCCAAAGGTCCCCTGTCCCACCCCCTCCCCCCCCCTTCACAGCCCTCCCTCCTTCGCTGGCCAGCTCCTAGGGTTGCCAGCAATGTTCCCTCTAAGCTGTGGAGTCTTGTGAGCAAAAATTCTACTTTGTGAGCTACTGGCATTAAAGTTGTGAGCGAGCAATTTGGCTACTGCATAAATTAGTTTGCTCTGGAGCCACCCTTCCTGAGCGGAGACAAAAGTGTGTGAGCCGGAGGCTAAAAAACTGTGAGCTGGCTCACACTAACTCAGCTTAGAGGGAACACTGGTTGCCAGCCTCCAGGTGGGGCCTGGAGACCTCCGGCTTTTGCACCTGATCTCCAGCTGACAGAGGTCAGCTCCCCTGGAGAAAATGGCTGCTTTGGAGGGTGGACTCTCTGTGGCATTGGGCCCTGCTGAGGCCCCTCCCCTCCCCAAACCCCGCCCTCTCCCGGATCCACCCCCAAAGTCTCCAGGTATTTCCCAACCCAGACCTGGCAACCCTACCAAAAGCCCCTCCCCCCACGCCCCTCACAGCTGCCGCCCCCTCCCCCGCGGCCCTGCTGGCCCCGCCCCCACTGCCCCCCTCGGGGGGGCTGTCTACCTGCTGCGTCTTCGCTTTTTTTCTCCTCACTGACAGTGTTTGGGACCCTCTCGCCGGCCAACAGAAACCCAGCCAATCGGAGGGCGGACGAGGCGGGCTCTTTGCGCCCGGTCCGGCCAATCAGCCAGCGGGGAACTGGGCGGGGCGGTGGCGACACTGGGGGCGGTTGCGCCCGGGTCTTTCTCCGCGTTGCGCCTCCGAAGCGGTTCGTTCCTTTTCGTTCCGCAAGCAGGGTAGATTGAGAGAGCACTCCGCGGGAGGAAGAGGCCAGTCAGCCCGTCGGATAGCCACGCCCACCAGCGCTTTTGTTTACATCCGGGGTTCCAATCAGGGGGCGCTCCCGGTCTCAGCCAATCAGAACGTTCCCGCGCCGAGGCCAATGAGCTCCAAGAGAGTCAGGAAGGTCGGAAGCCACGCCCATCAGTGGCGAACTGGGAAGGTTGTTTACTTCTTCGCGGAGGGAGAAAGGCGGGGGGCGTCGGGGCGTGGCCAGAGGGATGACGTGTCCTCCGAACCATAGATATTAACGACTAGAGTAACCGCTGTATATCATAAAGAACAGATCGGACCCCACCTTTCTGACAGGGCAACTGGGTTGAGCTTCGGGTGAAGAAACACGAAGAGCCATAGAGATGGAAAAGGGAGGCTAGAGCGATGGACTTCTGCGACCATAGAGTGTCGTCAGCGGATGCAGGAAGGAAGTTTCGGCTGCCAGTGCTGGCTTCGTGTCAGTCCAGCATTTCCTTCGTCTCTATGAATGCAGCGGCGAAGGCGCATAGAAAGGGGCGGGGTGCCTAACTGGAACAAACATATGCGAACTCAACTCATTCAGTCCTCACATACGTATTCTCAATAAGGAGGACTATAAATCCTCTATATTTCAGTGTATTTCTTTTTCAGAATAGTATATTGGAATACTGAATGGATGTCTGCTGACAACATTACATCCCGCTCAAAACATACTGTTAAGTGCCCTCCACGCGCCCTCTACGCCTCAGAGGAGATAATTAAGATAAAGGTAAAGGTTAAGGTTCCCTTGTTCGAAAGCCAGTCGAGTCCGACTCTAGGGTTGCGGTGCTCATCTCTGTTTCAAAGCCAAAGAGCCAGCGCTGTCTGAAGATGTTTCCATGGTCATGTGGCCGGCATGACTAAAGATTCGGTTACTTCCCACAATTAGAAAAAAACACCTTTAGACATCTATCCCCTATTGTGACATTTATTGCTTTACAACTGTTGACCTTAGAACCTTAACTTATTTAGTTTTTCACTTTGCCTAACTTAAACATCATGTTACATGTTAAATTTGCTGTTAAATCCCTGTCTATAAGTTTAGAACCTAGTCTGCCATTCCAATGTATTTGAAGAAGTGGGCCTTGCACATGAAAGTTCATACCTTGAATTAAAGGTGCCCCACTGGACTCTAAATTTGTTAAAACATTTTTCAAAAACCCATGCACCTCTCAGTTCCAGGTTTATTACTGATACCTATTTTGCATTCAGAAAGCATTTCATAAATTGTGTCTTTACTATTAATAATGGGGAAAGTACAAATTGCGAAAGATTCTATACAAAGTAGGTGTAGGCCCACTATTAATTACAAATACCATAACTTCCAGTAATAACAGGACTTATTAGTTTCAGGTGGGTTGTGGTGTTGGTCTGAACCAATTGAACAAAGTTGGAGTCCACTGGGACCTTTAAGACCAAAAAAGTTTAATTCTGGGTGTAAGTTTTTGTGTGCACGCACACTTCTTCAGATACATTTAAACAGACTTGCTCAAGGCTTAAGTATAGATAGAGAGGGGTTGGGGGGAGGGTTAATTGCCAGGAAGGGCTAGTTAGAGTCAAGATGCAAAAGTAACTGAGCAATAAATATAGCTAAATTGGATTAAAACAGTTGGTAAAACCTGTGAATAGCACCAAATCAGCATACAAATAAAAGTTAACAAATGTGAAAACTAAGTTTGAGTCCAGTGGCACCTTTAAGACTGAAGAAGTTTAATTCTGGGTATAAGCTTTCATGCCCTTGCAACACTTCTTCAGATACATATAGGTGGGGGCCGTTTAGGTCAGCCATTCACAGGTCTGACCAACGGCTTCAATCCAGTCTCAGCTATACTTATTGCCCAGTTACTTACGCATGTAAGGCTTGAAGAAACTCATTTCAATGTATCTGAAGTGTGCATCCACATGAAAGCTTATACCCAGAATTAAACTTTCTTGGTCTTAAAGGTGCCACTGGACTCAAACTTTGTTCTAGGACTTATTAGTGTACTGTTGCAAACAATATATGTATATCAGTAAGAAATGTAATGTATATCAGTAAGAAAAGTAATTTATATCAGTAAGAAAATATGTTATTAGTAAGAGAATATACATGTTCCGTATATTGTAAATGGTATTAACATTTCTAAAACATTTTAACATACAGGATATAAAAGAAAAAATACTATTGTTATTGAAATACAGGTGGCTTTCTCCACATTATTTCAAAGTGGCTTATACAATATGCCTCTCTATCCAATTTCTGTTAATGTTCTTTGTATTGATTTTGAGACAGTGAAAAAGCAACTTACATCATTCTTCTCCCTTTGAAAGTGGGTGACGACAGGCCCAAGGTGTAATGGTTACGACCACGGACTCCAATCTGGGAGAACTGCGTTTGATTCCCCACTCCTCCACATGCAGCTGCTGGTGTGACCATGGGTCAATCACAAGTTACTTCAGAGCTGTTCTCTCGCGAACAGTTCTCAAAAGAGCTCTCTCAGCCCCACCTACCTCACAGTGGAGGGGAAGAGAAAGGAGGTTGTAAACCTCTCTGAGACTCCTTTGGGTAGTGAAGGGCAGGCTATAAATCCAATCTCTTCTTCAAGGTCAACATGGCAGAGCAGGAATTCAAACACGGGTCTCCCAGAGCCTACCCTAATCCAAGGGTCCCAAGTGTGGTGCCCATGGACACCACGGGGCTTGCCAACAACACCTTTCCTGGCACCCGCCAAGTGTTTTTTAAAAATGGGCCGGGCCAGGTAGGGCTTTTGGCCAGCAAGGGTAATGATTGGCCATTGGAGATTTGATTGGCTGTGCGAATTTTTTGGCCACAGCTGCCCCCAGAGCACAAGGATCTTCACTATGTTATTGATATTAAGCTGGGGCAGCCATGTTGTGGCTGCTCCCCCCACCCCCCATGTCGGAATTCCAAAGGTGCCAGAAAGCTCAAAAAGGTAGGGACCTCTGTTCCTCTAACCACTACAGCATTGCCAGACTGTGCCTTCTGGGGTCAGAGTCCAGGGCAGCGATGCCATCCAGCAATCTTTTCTGTTGCAAGCCCAGGTGGTGCCTCAGATAAGGAAAGAAGTCCACTCACATCATGGGACCCCTCCCTCCAGTCCTCTAGTTGCAAATACATAACCTGGTGTAATGATTCCATGTTTTGGTGGGTGGGTGTCTTTAAATGTTGTTTGCACTGGTGTGGGAGGAGTGATGGAGGGTGCTAAGTGTGATTTGATTGGCTGGGGACTGAGAGTGTGGGAGGGGATGGTCTTTTGACAGCAAAGTGTGGAAGAGCTTTGAAGAGAGTCTGTGCGACTCTAAAAGTTTTGTGAGAGAGTCTATATGGCAAAGAAACAAGTTGTGTCTAACTTGTGTGGTTACACAAGTGTTTTATCTTGTGTGTCTAAGACAAAGATCTTAGCCAGTGTGGCTATGAGAGAGAAAGAGATTAGCCTGTCAGTCTGGGTGACTGTTCACGACACCAAGTTTTGCCAGTTATATTTACAAGTTCTTTTTTTTTTCAGTAACAGTTCAAAATAACCAGAAACTTATTTTATTCTTTATTAAATAAATCAATTTTTGTTTAAATTTATCCCAGAAATCAGTACAGTACTTCCTCAGGGCCACATAGTCCTCTGAAGTGCCCAGACCCTGGGTCATACTACCAAAAGAGAGAGAATTGGAATTTTAATTCCTGGTGGCAGCAAAAAACTACCAAGTTTATGTACTCCATGAGTGTTTAAAGGTAAAACCATCTTCCCTATAAGCAAGGATGTCACACCTGATTCTTCCTCCCAGGCACTCCCTGGGCTGGCCTCATAAAGGACTGTCTGGGGATAGTGGACCCTGGACACCACCAATGCCTTCTCTTCAGGGGCAGGCCCACAATGCACAAAGGTTTGTTGTTGTTGTTCAGTCGCACAGTCGAGTCCGACTCTTCGCGACCCCATGGACCAGATCACGCCAGGCCTTCCTGTCTTCCGCCGTCCTCTGAAGTTTGCTCAATTTCATGTTCGTTGCATCTATGACATTCTAACCATCTCATCCTTTGCTGTCCCCGTCTTCTTTGACCTTCAATCTTTCCCAGCATCAGGGTCTTCTCCAGTGAGTGCTCCCTTCTCATTGGGTGGCCAAAGTATTTGAGCTTCAGTTTCATTATCTGGCCTTCCAGGGAACAGTCAGGGTTGATTTCTTTTAGGATTGACTGATTTGATCTTCTTAAGAGGCTGCTCTGCCAGACTGTGCAGACCCCAGGAGGGCCAAGCCACTCCTCCTCTAGTCTGTTCTTGGGTGTAGGCTGCTGCCTGAGCCCTGCCTCCCTGTCAGACTTCTGGATGAATCAGATCCCAACAACATTCCCTCTGGAGAATGATAGGTTTATTGAAATATCGATAGGATCCAGCCTGTACACTGGCTGTGTTAGAACTAAGGTTAAAGGCGCAAATGCAATAGATATGCAAGGTTCAAGCAGGGGCCCTAAAAGACCAGGACCAATCACCCCTTAGGATTCCACCTGCCACAAGCAACGGCCAGCAGCCCCCCTCACTGTGCCATCCCCCCAATATGCAAGATGAAGCCGAGCTGCGAAAGCTGAGACTCAAGGATGCCTGTTTTCTCAGAGGTGATAAGAGGCATATTACTTCAAAGCAAAGGCTAGCAGTCTACTGAAAAGCGATTGCTATGTCGAATGAGCTGTTAAAATGAGCTGTTAAAATGCACAGTGAGTTTGACACTCCCCTCTGAGGCCTGTGCTGGCACATTTCTGGGCATGGCCTAATCCCTTCGCCGCCCCAGTTGGGCTACCTAATTCAGCAATGCCCAGGTGGGGCTGTCCATTGCCTGAGTTTCCTCCAGAGCAGGTGAGTTCAGGGATCATGGCCATCATCCCTAGACAACCACCCTGGCTTTGAGTGGGTAGAGGAAACCACTGCTTTCCACTAACCAGAAATATCCATAGGATTTTTGTTTTGTTTGAAACATTATACTGTACTGCCTCAACGATATGTTCTTCGGCTGAAATGACAACTCAGTCCACAAATAGCCTATGTAAAATTTTTGAATATAAACATTTAATTTGCAGTCTGTTAGCTGACACCTTCAGGTATGCAAGACGGCAGATGAAGTTTTGCCAGCTAGCTTCCAGTTTGCCTGGGTGTGGAGGACTGCCTTTCATACACAAAAGAGTTCCTTTCTTTGACCTCAGGAGTCAGGAACAATGGGATCATATAAGTTTATGATCAGGGCAAGAGATGTTCGGAGGTGGTTTTGCCCTTGCCTGCCTCTACTTCACGACCCCGGACTTCCTTGGTGGCCTCCCATCCAAGCCCTAACACCAGGGCTGACCCAGCTTAGCTTCCAAGAACTGATGCGACTGGGCTAGCCGGGGCCACCCAGGTCAGGGTCTGAGGATACTTAAAGAGAAACTCAGTTCTTTGGGAGAAGTCTTAGATGGAGCGAGAAGATAATGTGATTCTGGAATGGTAAAGTGTTAGTAGGAAAAGAGACGACTTGGAAAAAGAGCAAAATAAGAAGAGATTGGATTTATACCCCGCCCTTCACTACCTGAAAGAGTCTCAGAGAGGTTTACAATCTCCTTTTCCTTCCCCTCCCCACAACAGACACCCTGTGAGGTAGGTGGGGCTGAGAGAGCAATTTTGAGGACTGCTCGTGAGAGACCAGCTCTGAGAGAACTTGTGACTGACCCAAGGTCACACCAGTAGTTGCATGCAGAGGAGTTGGGAATCAAACCCAGTTCTCCCAGATTAGAGTCCATGCTCCTAACCACAAAACCAAACTGGCCAAGGTATGGCTGGGCTGGAGAGTCTTCATGAAAAGGCCTAGAACAAACCAGCGCAAAAGGATGCCAAGGTTTAATCATCCAGGACAGAGCACAGTTGCAAGAACCAACCCTCGTAGTTGGGCATAACTATTTGCGAACCAGAAAAACCAAGGGATGCCAAAAGGAAATACGTCTTTACATCTCACCCAACTTGTGCAATTCACAGCTGGTGAAACAACATTGTACAAAAACACAAAAGCACAATTTTTAAAAATGTGGTTGAGAGAAGAAGTGCAAAATGGCTGGGAGCATTTGTTTCTTCCCAAAATAAGTTGGTGTATTCCCAAAATCCTGTTGTTGAGGAACAACCTTCTGTGTTTGCTATTAGATGATCTCATAACAGATGGCTGCCTGCACATTTGGTGGCTTCGCAGAATATGCGACTACTGGCAAATACTGGCAAAAAGATGCACACTAACATACAAGTAGAACAAAGACTGAAAGAAATGTCAGATTACCTAACAAAGGGAGAATCATGTCCCATAGATGCAGAACGCTCAATCTAGAGATAGATCAAAGTGGGCAGTCATGTCAGTCTGAAACAATAGAACAAAGTTCTTTTAGAGTCCACTGGACTCTAACTTTGCTCAACTTAGAGGTCCACTTCGAGAGACAAGCAAGACCTAGTGGAGAGGTACAGAAATCAGACGGGCAGGGCTGATCAGCTCCAGCCTAACCCTCTCCCAGCCATTCATTCCTTTCCCCATTTTTTAGCTTAGCAGAAAAAAAAAATGATATTTCAGAAAGTACATGGGAGAACAAGGGCCTGGTGTTAATCATCTTTCTAATTAGCTTTTTTTTAAAAAAATAAATAAACTAGAACCAAAACATATTTCCACAGATGTTGATCGGAGGAAAAAATCCATAAAAATAACAACATAGTAAGTAAAACTAGCCTTCTACTAAGGTCTTTTAAATAAATTTGACTCAAAGCATACTTTCATACATGTTGACTTGTTGGCTGGGGGGGGGGGAATCAATTATATAGCTACTGTCAAATCAGATGCTCTGTTGACAATATGTAGTCTCAATCCTGCCTTAACATGTGCATAGATTCAGGTGAGTTGCTGGGTTGGTCTGAAACAACAGACCAGTGGCACCTTTAAGAACAACAAAGTTTACTCATGTGCATGCACATGAAAGCTTATACCCAGAATTAGCATATGCAGTTTGGTGCAGTGGTTAAGTGTTTGGACTCTAATCTGGGAGAATCAGGTTTGATTCCCCACTCCTCCACTTGCAGCTGCTGGATGACCTTGGGCAAGCCATAGTCCTGTCAGAATTATTCTCTCAAGAGCCGTTTTTGTCAAGAGTTCTCTCAGCCCCACCTATCTCACAGGGTGTCTGTTGTGGGGAGGGGAAAAGAGAGGACTTTGTAAGCCGCTCTGAGACTCTGAGTGAAGGGTGGGGTATAAATCCAATCTCTTCTTCATGTTCAGTGTGGTATGAACCCAGCAATCTTTCTGTTCAAGATCCTGCAAAGCGTAAGGTAGGAGGAGATAGGCTGTGGCTCAGTGGTAGAGCATCTGTTTGGTATGCAGAAGGCCCCGGGTCCAATCCCTGGCATCTTCAGTTAAAAATGATCAGGTAGTAGGTGATGTGAAAGACCTCAGCCTGAGACCCGGGAAAGGAGCTGCTAGTCTAGTAGACAGTATTGACCTTGATAGACCAATGATCTAATACAGCATGAGGCATAGTTTGCCATGGATGCTGGGGGAAGGGAACTCCTTAGGTGGGGTGGAGTGTGTGTGGACTGTGTGACTGTGCTACCTTAGAGGCTGTAATTCTTCCGAAGAAGCCTCTCCTCTCCCGGAGGAATGTCCTTGAAACTTTGGTGCCAGCTCGCTTGTGTAGATAATGGGATCGTATATTTCCCAGGTGAAAGGGGGGTAGGACCACTATGGCTAGGCGGGATGGATGACCATTAGGAGGGGTTTCATTTGAATTACCTATATCTGTGATTGTACCCGCCAAAATCTCCAGTTCTGAAACAGCATAGTTATGAACTGGATCATGCTTAAATCTCAATAAACATATCACTGCCAAAGAGAGTATTGTTGAGAGTAACTTGACCCAGAGTCTGACAGTATTAGAGCTGGAAGGTAGCATGCAACACAAATCCACATCTGATTTCCCTTGGCTTATCTATTCAAAACCTTATGTGAGTGGGAATACTGAAGGACCCACACCTGACTCCAATTTGTGCCATTCTCATGTGCCGCAACACGCACTGGGTTCCCTTTTGGGAATACTGGGTTGTGCCTGCACTGTTTAGGTTTTTTTTTTTTAGTACATGGAGAAAGACACCTCAGCAAGTTTTTGGCTAGTTTTATTTCATTATAAGTACACATGGTCCACATAGGCAATGAAAAGTATAAAACCATCCCAATAACTTAAGAACTTGTGGTGGAAAAAGCACCATCAACAGCACCATCCGTTGTTGAAATATTAAAATCCCTCATGCTCGTATTAAAGGAATGTGTAGTATTTCCAGATGTGTGGCTGAGGAGCGTTTTAAAAGGCAGCTCCCAGGAGCTATGAATTCATAGCGGGAATCTTTTGGTGGGGGGCTACAATATTGGCCCTCCACGTTACAAAACAAACAAACAAAAATACAACCAAAATAAGTACTGCATAGTATCGTAATTAAAATACAGGAGCCACCATTGAGTCGTGTAAAGACAACTCAACATCTCTTCCATTTCATTTCTGAATAGAGAAATCTAGAAGCTAAGAAAGAAAATAGACCTAGCATTATATTCTCTAAAAGGACACACTTGCCAAGCAGAATGTATTAAGTACTACGAAAATACATCTTCCATTCTGTTTTAATAATTTACTTTTTTTTTAAAAAGGCTGTGAAGTCGTCACAAGAAGCTTATACAAATTCAAGACTTTGTACTAAATTAACCTACCCTTCCCCCCAACAAAAAAGATATTCAAAACAAGTTTTAGCCCTGCTCGTAACGATTATGCAAAACGGAGTTAGATCGGGAAACAGAGGAGAGAGACTACCTGTGTATGAAGGAATATAAATTTACACACATTTTTACAGCAACTCCTTTTAATCCTAATACCGTCTACAAAATTCACAGTTATATTACAGGCGAATACAAGGGCAGGGATAAAGCTGTCTGAAAACCCAAAAAGAGGGGAAGGGGAATCTTTTCTACTTTTTTTTAAAAAAGAGAAAACCTGTAGAGTTTCAGATATCTGCACCAACTTCAAACTGGCCAGGTGTGAACTGCATCAGCGCAGGCACCCTTCAGCAAACACAGAGGGCTTTCCGAGGCTGCTGGAACAAAGAAGTCCCTAGTTTCTTCTGTCCTCGCAGGCTACGGCGAATGGCGAGCTTGCTGGAGTTTTTGTGCTGAGATGCGGAGGACAAACTTTCAGGCTGGGCCCCAATATTCCGCGATAGGCCTCGCCTGGGCTTCTTGACTGCCGGTCCAAAATTGGATTCTTCCAATGTCCTTTTGAAGCTTGCTGTTGACATCCTCTCTGACTCCTGGGCTTTTGCTGGATCACTCGAAGGCACGCGGAAGACCTTTGGGTCCGTGCCAATGTTCCCAGAGTTGGAAGGAGAGAGGGTACCTGGCGGGCTTTTGCTGTATGATTCTCGTACCCTCAATCCGAGTGTTTTACTGTTCTTTTCTTCCTGCGGACCAACATCTCTAGGAGACGTTACTGGTAATGGCAGGTTGCTCTTGGCAGTCTCACCGGCCATCTCAGAAGGCTTACCAAACATTGCGTTGGTACGCGTAAGTGGAGGAACAGCCTCCGGGGAGTTCAGCTGTGGCCACAAGTCCTCTTCCAAAACCTGATGGAATTAAAGAGAGAAAAATCATTTTATCTGCAAATTCAGTTACTCAGTTTGAATCGTTGTAGGACAATGATGCTCACTTCCCTCCATGCTACAGAATGCAAGATGATTAGAGGGACCTTTGAGCTGATCCTTTACTGCCCTTACATTTTTACACTGCTTTGCGATGAATATCAAATTTGGCCCTGATACCGAAGTCCTGTCACCTCTGCTGACACTGAGCAAAGACTGTGTCTTCACATAATTTTATCATCGTAGCTGTGAGCTTGCAGAATCCAGTTCTCTTGCCTTCAGAATTCTGGTGCCTACCCTCGTGGTTTGTCAGTATCCCAGTCTGCAAAAGTGAGATTAATCAAAAGAACCAGGCAGGACACTGACTTTTCTGCTGTTGTTGGATGGAATGAGAGACGCGCCTTGCACACGCAAAAGTACAACACCAACAGCTGAGTATGCCTGCAACACCGAGGAAAAGGTCAGTCCCTACGAAAGTGAGGGGGGGGAGTGAAATCCCCTAGGAGTGGCAATAAGGATCAGCATGGTACCTGCCATGGTCAATAGCCTATCCAAGGGCCCACCCCCTTCTGCAGATACTGGATTAGACTCCATCTTCCCAACGGAAAATAGGCTTAGAGGCAGTGGTGGAAGAGGAACACAAGAGAATTGTACAACAGGCATTCCTGCCCAAGCACTACGTTGGTCATCACAAGTCATTTCACATTTCCCTGCCTTCACAGGTCAGATAGGGCAGCCATGAAGCGCAGGGCCTTTTGGTGGTAGCCCCCTAAACTCCCCCTCTCCCTGCACTTGGCCAAGATCTTAGCAATCTGTCAGTTGATTTGTTTCCCTACCCTCAGTTTGTCTGTTTCTTCCCTCTATTACACTCATTTTGGCTCCTTCTGTTGCAGATCATTTGTGTGGTTTTTACAATGGGTCACTATTTGATTATTAGACATGAGTTATTGCAAAGTATTGAGAGTGCGTCTCTAAGCATCTATTGAGATGTGCTGCTGGCATTGCTGAGACTGGCATTGCTGGGACGCAGAGCCCATGTGGTGTAGTGGTAAAGAGGGCCAGAAGACCCAGGTTCAAATCCCAACTTGTGCCATGGAAGCTTACTGGTGGACCTTGGGCCAGTCGCACTCTCTCAGACTAACCAACCTCACAGGGTTGTTGTGAGGATACAATGGAGGAGAGGAGAATGTTATAACCCAGGGGTGCAAACATGTAGCCCAAGGGCCAAGGGCCCCTATCCGGCACTCAAGGACCTGGCTGTTTCCTGCTTTTTTCCCAGTTCTGCTGTTGCCACCGCATTACAGCTTGCTTTACCAGTCTCAATCGCACAGGAGAGATAGATAGGCAAGCCTCTCCTGTGTGACTGAGTCTGGTAAAAAACTGGTTGAGGCTCCTCCCCATCCTCCTCCCATGGAGAGGGAGGGAACATCCAGAGGTTGTTTCCTGGCCAGGCTGCAGGAGACAAAGGGAAGCCTTTCTTTACTTCCATTGGCTAAAGTTCATCCCTGAAGGGAGGGAGAGAACAAGGGAGAGCCTGCATTGCTGGGCTGCCTCAATCACACGGGAGAAATACAAAGCACCTTTAAGACCAACAAAGTTTTGTTCAAGGTTTTGTGTGTTTGTGTGTGTGTGTTTTGTTGGGCTCTTTATACCAGGGCTCTCCTGAGTGCAACTGGGTTCCCTCCCCCTTCTCACTGTATTCATGCCCTCATGATCCAGTTTTTCTCAGTAAGAAAGCAATGTGAACTATTTTAGAGGAGGAATAACAACAAGCCAGTGAGGTGGATTAGGCTGAGAATGTGCATTCAGACCAAGTTCACCCAGCACATTTCCTTTACAGGAACTTGTAATTATTTCTCTGGGGAAGACTATAGTTATGTAGACAAACACATGGCCCTCAGTCTGTGTCAGGTGTCATGCCTGCCCCTGACCCGGCGCCTGGGAGCTCTGAAACTGAGGACTCCGTGCCTTTAACACCATTGGAGGCACAGGAGTCTTTGTCAAACCTAAGTGCCGGAAAGGATGAGTACCAGCCTCCAGAACAGCCTGCACCTGAAACCGATCAGGCAGTGCCTGGCCCCAGTAGCACGCCACCCGATTCTCCGCCACTTGTCGACCGGCTGAGGGATCGGAGACACCGGGATGTGGCAACCAGACGCAAAGAGGCACGCTTGCGCGGTTGGAGATTAATAAGCCCGGAGTTCTAACGGGATCAAGGACTTTGTGAGGCAGTGCTAATGAAGCACTAATGAGTTAACAACCCAGCAAGCTATTTGAATAGGTCGCTGACTGCTGGCTAATCGTGCTGGCAAACCCGTCCTTCGGACCAGAAGCTCTGCACCTCTGACTCTGTTCCTGGTATCCGGCTACTGACTGACTTCCTGGCTCCTGACTCCAGTCCGCGTTTTGATGACCCCCTGGCTCTTGATCCTCGGCTCTGCACCCTGACTTCGACGCTTGCCTATCTGGACTCTGACTCTCGGTAACGCTCTGACTACGGCCTGGCTTTATGTATTGGGACTTTTGCTCTGGTTGTTTTGTTCTCTTTCTGGCTTGACTCTCAGACTGGACTGTGAACTCCCCCTCTCTGCCTTGCCTCACTGGCCCTGTCGTGACATCAGGAGGCTTTCTCATGAAGCAACTTAAGTACAAAGGGTTGCAATGCCCAGCCATTTCATGTTTTCCCCTGGGTCCTAGGCTCAGAACACTGAGCATGAGATTTCTGTAATGAATATCAATAAATCAAAAGTAGGTTTGCAGCTTACAGATACACACTTGAACATCATACTCAAAGATTGCTACAGCACAGACATTTTGATGCAATAATTCAGAACAAGAGGTGTCAGTTATCAAAGACTGTTAAATAGACAAAATATTGCAAGAGTGGTAGTGTTTTAAGCATGCTTTATTTAAAGTTTAAAAAATCTTTAATTGTGTCTGTGTACTTTATAAAATTTATTACATTTTATGATACACATGGCCCAGCCCAATTATGTCAGATCCGGCCCTCATAACAAATGAGTTCAACGCCCCTGCTATATAACCTGCTTTGGGTCCCCCACTGGGGAGAAAGGCGGGGTATAAATGAATTTGTTTAAATACATTTAAAATTGTTTAAATAAATTTATTTTAAATAAAAAATGTACCAGGGTCACTCTCTGATCCCTCCAATGTGGTGGGGAGAGAAAGGGAAGGTGAAACTGAGAGTCGGGAGTGGCTGAGACAGCGGAGGAGGGGGAAGAGTTGGCTGTGAGCAGTGGTGGTGGGGGGAGAAGGGAATGGGAAGGGGAATGGAGGGGAGATCATGAGCACCCTGTGTCCAGAAGGTTTGGAGTAGTGGTTAAGAGCTCTAATCTGGAGACCCGGGCTTGATTCCCCACTCCTCCACCTGAAGCCTGCTGGGTGACCTTGGGCCAGTCCCTGTTCTCTCAGAGCTCTCTCAACCCCACCGACCTCACAGGGTGTCCAGTGTGAGGAGAGGGAGGGAAGGAAATTGTAAGCTGCTCTGAGATTCTGAGTGAAGGGCGGGGTATAAAACCAACTCTTCTTCTTCTTCACTCAAACCTCTCACCAGCCCCAAGATTTATTAAATGTCTGTGGGGTCCCCCGTCCATGGACGTGGGCCACTTCATGTGGCACGACAGGGCGGGTTCAGTTTCCTGGCAGTGGTCTGCAGTGCATCCCTTCTCCCCTAGGAAGGTGTGGTTGCGTATAAATATACACATCGGGGGGGGGGGGGGGCCCACACAGTACCTGGCTCTGTAATCACAACAACCCCAGCTACTATGAAACTAGGACTGCATCAACATCCCCCCCACACACACACACACACCTGTTTACTGGCATAGCCTTGCTCTGGTTCCTTGGTCACACTCAAGTGTGAGGGAATGTTATAAACTGATTTTTTTAAAAAAAATTATATGATGAAATGGGTCATGCGATCACAGTATCACTGATGATGCTCCACAAACGTATCTGTCTTCCTTCTGACAGGAGGAGGCCGCCCCCACCCCAAAAAACACACACGGGCACACGGGCTGTCTGTCAGGCTACTATATTTATTCTCATCTGCGCCAAGTCACCCGGGTTTCTTTAAGGGCCTCCGGATGATCATTACTGGGAGTGATCCGAGACCCCACCGCCTTCTGCCCCACGTCTTGCCTCGCGCCCGATTGCCTTTACTCCTACACAGGCGGGTTTTCTGTTGAGGACAGAGGGGACCGAATTACTCAGAGAAGCGGCTGGCGTCACAGAAGCTACAGCAAGGGCAAAGCTGCACTAGCCCTTGTTAAAACACCCCATCTCGTAGGTGAGGCCTGGCTATCTCCCAGCATTACACCACTGATCTCCAGCTGACAGAGATCAGTTTCCCTGGAGAAGATGGCTGCTCAGGAGGGAGAACTCTACGGCATTATCTCCTGCGGCGGTCCCTCCCCTCCCCAATCCCTGCCTTCCCTGGCCTCCAACCCCAAACCTCAAGGCATTTTCTAACCTGGAGCTGGAGACCGTAGGCATATAGGACAACCCAACAAGGAAAATGCATCCTTGTGTTGACTCTAAGAAATGCAGTGGGCACAGGTTCAAAGTCAACCCCAGCTGCGTACAGACTGTCGCGTCCAGGCATGGTCTACTTTGACCCAAGGCCACGATGAAAACAGTGTGCTATAATAGATGGTTACATTTGTTGAAATGATACAATTTGGACTGGCTTGTAATTATCTTCTCTTCATGACTGAACTATAGGTTAGACTGGTTTGTTGGCGTGTTTTTGGGTTTTTGGTTAAATGTATTTGTTGTCAATTCAAATAAAAAAATTTTTTTTAAAGAAATTCATGAAACCACAAATGGCTTCTGTGAGCTCAACGCACTCGGCTGCAAAGGAGGCTGCCCACGGCAACTCTGGAAGAGTCACGGCTGTGGCCGTCCCTCCTTCCAATTGTTGAAGGAGTTGGATCACTCATTCACCCTCCATGTGGAAACCCTGC